GATGTGAAGATCAAGTCTTCAAAATATAGTTGGAAAAGCTGAAAGACGGTTCAGTTGTTTGGGTTTGTTATTATAAATACTCACCAGCCACTTTAGATATTTGCAGGTTATCTAAATAATCAGCCAATCACATGAAAACAATTCAGTACATTTAGGTTTGTAGACATGATCAAGACAACCTGCTGAAGTTCAAGCCAAGAATCTCAAAGGGGACTAAAGGTGATTTATGTTGATCGTTGTTCACAGACAGGCTGGTCTGCTGGGTTTTTCCCACACAACCATCTCAAAGGTTTTTTAAGAGAATATGAGAAAAAGAGAAAATATCCAGTGAGCGGCAGGTGTGTGGGTGAAAATGTCTTCTTGATGTTAGAGTTTAGAGGAGAAAGGCTGATGGGAATGCAGCAGTAACTCAAATATCCACTCATTACATCCAAAGTATGCAGAAGAGCATCTTTGAATGGACTACAGCAGCAGAAGACCACACTTAGGGCCACTCCTGTCAGCTACGAAAGGGAAACCAAAGCTACATTTAACACAGAATCACCAGAATTCGACAACAGAAGATTAGAAAAATGTTGCCTTAATTTCTGTTGTGACATTCAGATGGGAGGGTCAGAATCTGAAAGCATGGATCCATCCTGATGTTTATGAACAGTTCAGGCTGCTGCTGGTGTGATGGTGTGGGGGATGTTTTCTTGGCACGCTTTGGGCCTCTTAGGACTAACTGAGCATCATTCAAACACCACAGCCTACCTGAGTATTGCTGATGACCCCATCCCTTTATGACCACAGTGTACACATCGTCTGATGTCTCCTTGTAGCAGGAGACCAGTAGAGCCGATCCAGTAGAGCACCGTGGGGAACAAGTGGTGGAGCAGGAGGTTCATATCATGGATGTGAAGCAGGCAAATCTGCAGCTACTGTGTGATGCCGTCATGCCGTTATGTCAACATGGTCCAAATTCTCAGAGGATTGTTTCCAGCACCTTGTTGAATCTGTATATCTGAATAATTAAGGACGCCAAAGAGGGTCAAACATGGTAGTAGCAAGGTGTCGGTAAGAAAGTGTGCGGTGAGTGTAGAACAGCGGTCCCCGACCTTTTTTGCACCACGGACCGGTTTATGCCCAACAATATTTTCACGGACCGGCCTTTAAGGTGTTGCAGATAAATACAACAAAATAAAACTAGTACCGGTACCAAAAAAATAAGATTTATTCATAACACACATGAAACGACCCAGAAAAATCGAGTAAACGACAAAAACGATATCAAAATAACGCTAAAAACCAATAAAAACCCTGAAAACCATACATTTCACACTCGAACCTCAACTCTCGGGGCCCGGTACCAAACGACTCACGGACCGGTACTGGTCCGTGGCCCGGGGGTTGGGGACCGCTGGTGTAG